TATATGGAAGAAAATCCAACAGCGGGTCTTATTGATGAAACATCAGATATTGAAATTGATTATGACGAAGATGGTAACCCTATAGCACCACCTAAGAAAAAAGTTGGTATCATTCAATTTCCAAAATAGTTATAATTAAAAACAAATTTATTTTAAAAATACATTAAAAACAGTATTRCAATCATTAGTATTTGAGCTGTTCACTCTATAATGTCTTAGAATAAATAATTAGTAGCACAAAATATGATTGGTTTGTACAGTAATATKTAGGTAGTATATATTTTTGGTATAATCAAGTGTTTGTTAAAGCTTTTCATTTTTACCTATAATTGGAATCAAGCATTTATTGTAATAAAATACGTTAGTTATTYAACTTTTTGCTAAGCTCTTTCCCCTATCTCAGTTCAATTATTGAAAAATATTTTATTTATCCTATTTAAACTCATGTAAAGAATCTTATTAATTTAAAATTTAATAATATTCAATTTTCAAATCTAAGATAAAATTTTTTTTACTAATTTCGAACTCGAAATAATTTGCAAATTTTTATGATTTATACGAATTTTGTCAAAATTCATACTTCAGAGTTCAGAGGTTTATAAAAAAAAATAKTGCACTCAACTTTTTTTCTTTTGAAATTCCACTTCTAACAGTGTATGTGGAATCTTGTATTACAATTCCATGTTTGTAACGGAACAAAAATTTCATATGCCTATTGYCCAATAATAGTTTAACACGAGTCACAACATTTTGAAAATGTTATAGTGTATAAAAAATGTTAATATAAACATTATGTGAAAATTTCTTATATTTTTTTGAAAATTGCTTTTGCATATTAAGCAGTTTTTCTTTAATTTTTTATTTGTATTTCCTGAATGTTTTAAAAAATTATTGGGAATTTTTCACTTACAACTCTCTCCTTCTCCACTAGTACAAACTAGAATCAYTTTTCCACCAAWAAAGGTGCTGTTAAAGAAAATCAAAGCATTTTTATTGTCTCAAAATGTACAATRTACTCATATCATTTTTAAAATCAATAGAATCATCACGGTTCAGAATCTCGAATGTATATCATTCTCTGTTTTCATTTCTACATTTACTTTAAAAGCCTTGGTTACATTTAAATTGTTATTAACTTAGAAACTAAAAGTTTTTCTAAATTTTGGTTTTGAGGTCTCTTCAAAAAGTACTGGGACAAATGTTATTACGGCTAATCTACTCAAGACAACATTTAAATTATAAATAGATGTATTCCCCACATATTAGTGAGTATTTTAAACAAAATCTGAAGTCGCTATTTTACCTCAATTTAATGATAGTTAAGTCCTGTCAGTTTGTTTCTTTCACCATTTTTGACATGGCTAAAATTAACTTACAAAATKTGTGCATCAAGATTCATTGAAACTTGGTAAAAATACGAGTTAAAAACTGTTTTTGTGAATGATTCATTTACTCTTTCCATGATTTTCAAGTAGTTTATACATTTTAAGAATGGCCAACAGTCAGCTGAAGATCCATGTTTTGGAAGACTGTCCACATCCAGAAATTATGATTTTGTGGTTAAAATTTATACCCCATAGATAAACAATCAATCAGGTATTCYATAAGTACGTTTCAATGTGTGGGCGGCAAAGAACTTGCTAAAAATGGCGTAGTGGAACCTGGTGCCAGCACATTCAGCACTGTCTATTCATGAATTTTTGTGTGATAAATTAATACCTGTTGTCTCGCCTTTTCTCTATTCTCCTGACCAGACTCTATATGATTTGTTTTTCTTTATACTAAACCCTGAGCTTCATGGAAAATGTTTAAAGATGTTGAGGAAATTAAAGCGAATATGGCAACAGAACTTAAAACTTTAAYATTGGAACAATTTCAAAGRACTTTTAAAAAATGGCRAGATCGCTGGGACTACAGCATATCGTACAGAAGAGAGTATTTTGAAGGAGATATCTTTGWATAATATGTAATCAATGATGTGACTTAATTTTTGCAATTATTAAAAATAAATTTCTGGTACTTTTTGAACAGGCCTCATGTAACACAATGAAATAAATGATACTTGTAATTTCGATTTATTTAGTATTTACTAGTTTTAAAATTATTCTATAAATATAAATTATTAGTATTAGATATTTATTTTATATTCTTATATTCTTCTATTTTTCTCCCAACAGGAAATAGACCCATTACCTCCCATAGATCATTCTTTAATAAAATACCAAAGCTTTGAAAAGAAYTTTTACACTCCACATAATGAAATATCATCTTTAACTGTGGATAAAGTAATTCAGTTACGTAAGACTCTTGGTCTCAGAGTAAATGGGGCCGATTTACCTTATCCAGTCACATCATTTGCTCATTTTAATTTTGATGACGCCTTAATGAAAATCATTCGCAAGTCTGACTATGTACAACCTACTCCKATTCAAAGTCAAGCAGTTCCTGCTGCACTTGCTGGACGTGATATCATTGGTAAATTTAWGATATTTTAAAAGAACTTTCATATTTTAAACTTATTATAATCATCCATAGGTATTGCCAAAACTGGAAGTGGTAAAACGTTAGCATTCGTATGGCCAATGTTGGTTCACATAATGGATCAACCAGAACTGAAAGAAGGTGATGGGCCAGTTGGTTTGATATTGGCACCTACTAGAGAATTGTCTCAACAAGTATAAATCAATAATCAGAAATTGATTTTWAAAAATGATCAATTCAAATTTKTTTTATTGTTCAGATCTATGCAGAAGCAAAAAAATTTGGAAAGATCTATAACCTGAGAGTAGTGTGTTGTTATGGAGGCGGTTCAAAGTGGGAACAATCCAAAGCACTTGAAGGAGGYGCTGAAATCATAGTAGGTACTCCTGGCAGAGTAATCGATTTAGTAAAAATGTCTGCAACCAACTTAACTAGAGTAACATTCCTAGTACTAGATGAAGCTGATAGAATGTTCAATATGGGTTTTGGTAAGTATTAAGGTGATTTTCATTAGGATTTAATTTGACAATTTTTAATTAACATGCTTGACGCTTGTTGATTTTCAGAACCTCAAGTGCGCTCGATTTGTGACCACGTGAGACCAGATCGCCAAACATTATTGTTTTCTGCCACATTTAAAAARAAGGTTGAAAAGTTGGCACGCGATATTCTTACTGATCCTATAAGAATTGTTCAAGGAGATATTGGTGAAGCAAATACTGATGTAACACAAATTATGTTGGTGATGCCACAAAGTGACAAGTGTCAATGGCTATTGGATAATTTAGTTCAATTTACATCAACTGGATCCATTCTCGTATTTGTTACTAAAAAAGTATGTTTAATTTGTACATGAAATAAATAGATTAAAAATATAATATAATTTTTCAATTTATAGTTAGACGCAGAACAACTAGCTAGTACATTGACTGTAAAGGAGTATGAAGTGTTACTGTTACATGGTGACATGGACCAAGCCGAAAGGAACAAAGTAATAACAAAATTCAAAAAACAAGAAGTCAACATAATGGTAGCCACCGATGTTGCTGGTGAGATCATATTTTTATAACAATCACCTTTAATAATACATTTAAAATGAATTTATCATTTGAGAAACAAAATTTGTCCCAAAATTCAACAATTTGGATAAATGAAAGAACACATCGTCCTAAATTGAGTTTCTCTTAGTTCAGATAGTTTGCACTGCGATTAAAAACTATTTTCAATAGAATACAAGTCGTAATATTCTTGAAATGTTCAGATATACATAATACAAAAAAATCCAAAACTGCAATAAAACATTCTTTTATTTTATTTTGGACAAGTGTTGTTTCTGACAAAATTGTATCAATATAGTGTATATAGTAATATTTTTAATGTTTTTTTTTTAAATTTATGTAGCTAGAGGTCTGGATATAGCTCATATYAGAACAGTTGTGAATTATGACATAGCTAGAGATATTGACACACATACACATCGTATTGGAAGAACTGGTAAAATATTTTATAATATCATTTGTCTGTTTAACATATTTATTTTTACATAAAATGTTATTTTCAGGTCGAGCGGGAGAAAAAGGTACAGCATTTACTTTAGTCACACCAAAAGATTATGAATTTGCTGGTCACTTGGTACGAAGTCTTGAAGGTGTGGGACAGGAAGTTCCCAAACCACTTTTAGATCTCGCCATGCAGGTAAAGTATCATAATAAGACTTAGTTAAAATCAATATTCAACCATATGTTTTTTAGAGCTCTTGGTTCAGAAAAAGTCGTTTCAAAGGCGGAAAGGGTAAATCAGTAACTGCTGG